ATGTTTTTCTTCTTTGTATACAGGGTATTTTTGGAACGCTCCCGAAAACTAAGACAGGCGACAGCACCAAGTATATCTTTGATCATGGGTTACCAATAAAGTCGATCCTGATGAAAAAAAAATCATCTTTTAACAACGTTTTATTAGCTTTACTCACGCGCCATCATGTTAGTACAGCTAAATGAAACGATAATTTCATAAAAAATATCATGAAAATACTGAAACATAAAACCAGCAGTGGAAACTGAATTGATATCACCTGACTAATGGAGGTTAATGTACGCGCGAACGGTGAAAAACAAACGCTGGCCTTGAACTTGGGCACTGAGCGATTTATCACATATTGGTACGAAAGGCGCGCGACGGGGGAACAATCCGCCAGTATTAGTGTGCCTGCATGCTATTGGTTCCCGCGCTTTGTTCGCTCCAAAAATACAGTCGCATACACAGCTTACTTTGCGACTCGCGACGATGTTTTAAAAAGGAAGGAAAGAAAAATTATTTATATCTATTGTTTTATGACTAAACTAGTGATCGAAAAGGTAAATATGATAGGAGAAGGTGAATGGGGAAAATTGTGCAGTAAAGTTAAAAGTGTGGAGGAAGAATACCGAAAAAATTACCATGTGATCGACCTGATGACGGAAGCTCAAGGGAAGATGAAAGTGATGATCAAGTAGCATCCAGTAACACCAACACACCATTAACATCTGGCTTCCATGTGACCCAAGACGTCATAATGGACGGCGTGTTACCCTTAGCTAAAGTTTTCTTGTTACAAACTACTTTATATTTTACGATAGAAATAACAAATAATGCTCATGTAAACATTATCCATTTTTAATTCCCACCTCTTCCAAAGTTCTAAGTAGCTAGTAAAACACCTATTATGATTCTACATTAAAACAATTAATTACTATAATATTATAAAACAATAGCCCAATACCATGTAGTACTTTAGAACGCGATTGTACCCACACCCCCTCCGCTATCGACCTGTATCTAGCTCGGTACGAAACACGCGGTCGTAAGAAAAAAGGGCGCATCTAACAATTTATGAATAAATGAGTTAAATATACCATTCGATTCATGATAAGAAGGCGCGTCTACTAAATTTTTTTAATATTCACAAATATCAATATTTTAGAAATTATCGTAAGAATTTTAGACGTAACTGTTGATCACAGATGACTTTTTTTAGTAGAAAAGACTTATACAAATTCAACATAAAAGAAAAGACTTATTTAACCAGTTGCTACGTCATCTTTAACAATATTTGCATCGATTACTTAAATTTCAATTATTCTTGGTCTTGTCTTATTATTCTATATCTTATTATTAAGAGCTTATATCTTATTGTTAAGAGCTGGTGTTTCACATGTGGTCCCATATAAATTTGATCGAGGTCAGACCAATAGTTTTTGAGTTATCCTTAATTATTTATATTAAAGTCGGTTGTACAAAATTTTTAATTTTTAATTATTATCGTAGTAAGTCTTGTATGATATCCCCTTTAAAATCATTACTTTTTAAAATTATTATTTTTTGTGTCTCACTACCAAAGCTTTTCTAATATTTATTAAAAAAAAAAAGTAGTAAATTACTATTAGCGTCCTTTCAACTTCAAATGACCTTTCCAAAATATGTAAAATTGTTAAATGAATGGCAGTTTTTTTTTAATTTAATAGGTTGGAAAGACGCAAATATTTATATGCGTCTTTCCTTCGATGTTTTTGTGTTGCCAGGTGTATTTTTTAAGCTAAGATGAAAAGGAAAAATTCGTTTTATTTAAATAAATAAACAAATTATCAAAAAATTTGTTCGTCCTTAAAATCTTCATGTCTCTACGTATTTTCATATAGATACCTTTTAATATAGGTACTTTAGACACAGGGTCTGAAAGAAAAATTCATCAATTTATTTTTTATTTCCATTTTACGTTTTTGTTAGTTGCGTCCTTCTTTATGTAACCCGACGACGGCAGAATGTAACCCGGCCGGCTCGTGTCGCCTCACGCTGTGACGCAGTAGACAAAGCAAGGAGTAAAGTATTCTGAGAGAGCGACTGTTGCAACCCCGTGCTGGGCACGCCACTATAGCGGCGATAAGACCCCTCTTTGAGGAGTGGCTTGAGAGACGCCACGGCGTCCTCACCTTCCGCCTGACGCAGGTCCTCACCGGACACGGTGTGTTCGGGAGGTTCCTGCACCAAATCGGGCGGGAGGAAACGCCCGGGTGCTCCCACTGCGAGGATCGACCGGAGGACACGGTGGAGCACACCGTGGAGGTGTGCTCTGCTTGGGCGGAGCACCGCCGTGTCCTCGTAGCGGCGATAGGCGGCGGCGACCTCTCGCGTCCGGCTCTGGTCGAAGCCATGGTCCGGAGCGAGACGGAATGGGATGCCGTCACCACCTTCTGCGAAGCAGTGATGCTAGCGAAGGAGGTGGCGGAGCGGGAGAAGGAAAGAGCAACAGCTTTCCTTCCCGGCCGCCGCGGGAGACGCCCCGGGCGTCGGGGGCTACGTCGTGGCCCCCGACCACCGTAGGCGCGGGCCTGTGGACGGCGAGCAATGGGTAGCTCGCCGTCCGTCCGTCTAACGACGACAGGCCGTGTCGACGGCGCGTTTTGTTCCACGCGCGCCTCAAAGAGCTGTCAGCAGCGTGAAGGGGCCCGCAAGGGCCGACGCCTGCCGGGGCTGCGGGCTGTTCGAAAGAGATACCGCGGCTCCGGAACGTAAGGGCACTGAAGGAACACGGATGGTTTTTAGTCAGTAAAAGTCTGACACTCCCTTCCGCTCCACCCACAGCGAAAGGCGTCATTAGATGATTTTCCATCCGCAAAAAAAAAAAAAAAAAAAGGAGTAAAGTATTCTGTGAGACAAAGAGTATAATAACTGTCCTAGCAGTAGGTTTCAGTTTTGTTGGGGTTCGTTATTAATTGTAGTTTTTGAAACAGTTCCGTGTTGATTTTGTACACGCGTGCGTGAGCGACAGCTCAATCGTATTGTTATTACTTGTGATTACGTGTTGGTATTATTCCTGTTGTTACGTTTTTTGTTTTAATAATGCTTAACGCGTACTTTTATAGTGATTGTGAATACAGCAACGTGTTATCCGAACCCAGGTACACGAAGTATCGCCAAATAAATTGTTAAGACGTCGGGATGCGTTTGTGCAGTGCACAAAGTGTTGAAGCGTAACCGAATGCGCCCATACAAATTGCACAAAGTGCAAGCTTTAGTTCCCGGCGATCACGTCCGCCGACGAGTTTTCTGCCGTTGGTTATTATACTAGCGACAACGTGTGCCTGGTTCCATTGAGCACATTATCTGGACGGATGAGTCGACATTTGCCAGAAACGGCCTGTGGAACCGAAGAAATATACACGTGTATTCAGAGGTTAACCCGCACGCTGTTCGACAAACCGGGCACCAAACCCGATGGTCGGTTAACGTATGGGCAGGTTTATTTAAGGATCGCATACTGGGACCAGTGTTTCTGCCACAGCGACTGAACAGACAGCGATACCATGTCGTGAGGTTCGTCCGTGAGCGCCTCAATGAGCTATTTGATGATCGCTGGATCGGCAGACTAGGACCACACGCTTGGCCACCTCGCTCACCAGATCTGACCCCGTTAGACTTCTTTTTGGTATGTGAAAGAAAGGGTTTTTAATCGTGAGTGTGATAGTGCTGACAAAATGCGCCAAAGGATCGTGGATGCTTTCGAGAAACTATGTACGGACTGTGTCGAAGACCACACGATGATGCCCCGCCTGCACCCAAATCTACCTTGAAATGAATGGAGCACAATTTGAGCTGCATCTCATAAGACCACGGAGGATTTAGAGCGGTAAGCTGTTTCATAACTATTTTTTTTAAATAACTTAGTACTGAACTAATCTGAATAGGTACATAACTGAATACATGAGAATAATAAACATACCTACACGATGAATAAAAACGCATGACTCCAACCTTGGTTACATTTCATTTAAGTATTTTTTCATTAGCGTATGTAGTGGTATGGCCCGCTAGTTGCGGGCCGCACGAATTTGCGTTCGCGAGTACATTGACCTTTAGTCAGGTGATACAATTCAGTCATTCCACTGCTGGTTTTATGTTTCAGTATTGTCATGATATTTTTTATGAAATTATCGTTTCATTTAGCTGTACTAACATGATGGCGCGTGAGTAAAGCTAATAAAACGTTGTTAAAAGATGATTTTTTTCATCAGGATCGACTTTATTTGTAACCCATGATCAAAGGTATACTTGGTGCTGTCGCCTGTCTTAGTTTTCGGGAGCGTTCCAAAAATACCCTGTATACCTAATAAGTAATTTTTACAGTTTCTCCAAATTGAACAAGTATATTTTAATGTAATTTTATTACACGTAGCTGTATTGATTATTAAATGTTTTACAGCAATATCACTTCTGTTGAGGGAGGGGCCTGGTGATCCCATAGCACAAGGAAACCTAGTTTGGGCACCAGTCTCCCGCCTAGATCTTATTTAGCTAAAATTTATAGTTGTTATTTAGTTTTATAGTTCACTGTTACTAAGTTTATTGTGATGTACTGATCATAATATGTGGGAGAAAATAAATACCAATTATTATTATTATTTCTCATAAAATGGATATATATTTACATTATAAATGCAAACAAAAATATATAGATATTTAGAAATCGATTTTTTGTGAATCGATGCATCAGCTTACAATTCGAATCGATTTACTTCTTCTTCTTTCTTTTTTTATGGCGGTTTTTAATTATTCGCCAATGTCAGCGTGGAAGTGTTTATTGAGTACAAGCTCAGTAGTTACAAATACTATGCCCATGTACTAAAGAAGATTGTGATAATACAAGTATCTTATTTTCTTTAAACAATTAAATTTTCCCTTTTTATCTTGTAATGCTAGTGGTTGTACTGTTGAATTACCTAGAACAAATGACAAACACAGTTGCTATAACTACATTAGTATATTAGTATTGACAAACATTAAACTTTTATACTATTAGTGTTAATAAAATCACACAGAATATATACATAAGGAGTATTTGTGTAGGTTAAAAGTGAATCAAAATTTATAGGACGAGGGATGTCAGGAGGGAGATGATCATAGAGTGAACAAGATAATTTTGGACAGTTAAAAAAACTATGGTCTGAGGTTCCCTCATCTAACCCACATTCGAAGAGGGAACTATCCCTAATCCTCAGTTTGGCTAAATGTACTGGTGTACAAGCATGGCCAATTCTAAGTCTACAAATAGTTGATGTTGACTGTTTGTTAGCTTTATTAAATTTGAAAAACCATGGTTTTGGAGGGATGGCACATTGTATAGCAGCATAGTGTTTACCTTTTATATTTTGAGTGGCTTTCCATAATGTGTTCCAATTATTACTTAACTTCTTCTTTGCAAGTAACACTATGTCTGAAGAGTAAATTAAATTACATGGCAAACCATTTCGACTTGCATTTTTAGCCATCAGATCAGCTGTTTCATTGCCCTTAATGCCACTATGACCTGGAATCCAAGCTAAGGAAACCTGAATGCCCTTGAGATGACATCTATACAATGTGTGTTTAATTTTGAGGATCAAGGGTAACTTATATTTACTTTGGAACTGGTTTGACAAAATTGCTAACAAACAGCTTTTGGAGTCGGTAAGAATAACTGACTTATTTAAGTTGTGTGCTTCTATATAAATCAAAGCTTCATAAATTGCCGTGGCCTCGCCAGTAAAAGTGGAAGAAATAGAAGGGCATTTAAAATTGAGGATTATTTTGTATCTGGGAATCCAAACTGCTGCTCCAGTGCAACTTTCACCTGACTTTTTGGAGGCATCAGTGTATATAATAAGCCAGCCTTTCCATAAATTATCTATGACTCTACTTAGTTTACTATTTGCTATAGGGCAATCTTTCTCAATACCAAGGTCGAGGTGGATATTTGGTTGGAAAATAATTGCATCATATGGGATATCAAAGATGGGACAGGACTTGCATTGTGATACTGGGTGTGGTAGATGGAGTAATGTTACCAAACTGTTGGATAAGCAGGGAGATTCTTTATGAGTCCAGTAATGCTTTGTTGAAATATATTCCAAAAGAAGGTGTAATTTAGAAATGAGAGGATGTGAAGAGAGTTGATAGATTTTAAAAAAGAATCGGTCCGAAAGATATTGTCTTCTTAGGTAAAGAGGGGGATCTACACATTCAACTTGGAGAGCATTTATTGGGGAAGATTTCATTGCCCCAATGATTATACGAAGGCTTTTCGTCTGAATCCTGTCTAGGATCTTTAGGGAAGACTTATTACATGGTTCCAAGACAAAGCACGCATAATCCAAATGACTACGAATAAGGGCGTTGTACAATATTTTTTGAGAGAATGGATGGGAGCCCCACCAAACTCCCGATAACGCGCGAAGAATATTTATATTTTTTTCACATTTTTTGAGACATAGTTGATATGATGAGAAAAGGTTAGTTTGGAGTCAAGAATAACTCCCAAAAATTTTACAGTCTCCCTAATAGGGATAGGTTCATTATTAAAGAGAATGTCGATTTCAGGGAGTTGCCTATGGCGAGAGAAGATGACAACACTGCTTTTGGGAACAGACAAGGACAAACCATGATCAGTTAACCAATCTTGTAAATAGGACATTGATAGATTCAAGCGGGAACAAGCTGTAGCAAGGTTATCCAAGGAAATATAGATAGCTATATCGTCTGCATATTGGAGGATGTTACAGAATGAGTTAACAGAAAGTTCTAGATCATAAGTATAGATAGAATAGAGCAAAGGACTAAGTACTGAGCCTTGTGGGAGACCCTTCCATACAATTCTTGGCGGGAGTAGAGAATTTTGACTATCAATATAAATGGATCTAGAAGAGAGAAAGTTAGAGACAAAATTTACTATCCTCACTGGAATACTCAGATTAAGCATTTTTTGCCTGAGCACAGGAAGAAGTACATTTGATAATGAAATATCTAGAAAGTCACCAACAAGGTATTCATGTTTAGAGTAAGCTATACGAATATCAGTAACTAGAGTACTAAGGCTAACCATGGTGCTTAAGCCCTTTCGGAATCCAAATTGGCTTTTTGCTAGAAGGTTTTTGCTTTCAAGAAACCATTCTAGACGATTTTTTATTAGGTGTTCAAGAATTTTGGCCATGGTACAAGAAAGAGCAATAGGGCGGTAGCTTGAGGGATCAGTGTGAGGCTTACCTGGTTTGTAAATAGGTAAAATAACTTGGGATTTCCATTCTTCAGGAGGAATACCGGACATGTAAATACAATTTAAAATAGAAAGAAGATGGGCTTTAGTAGATTCACTGCTATTAGTAATAAAAGAATAAGGAATTCCATCAATTCCTGGTGAAGAGTCTTTAAGGGCACTAAGAACAGCATATAACTCCTCATAAGAGAAAGGGGAGTCAAAACTGTGTTGATAGTGCAAGGACTGTGATTGAAATACTATACTTTCATTGTAAGATGGTATGTGAAGGAGGAGCAAGATTACTAGCAAAATTTTCAAGCCAATAAGACTGATCATTAGAAATTGTGTTTTCAGAGGCCAAAACTGAACATCGGAATTTTTTAATATTTTTCCAGACTAATGATGGATGAGTCCTAGGCGACAGTGACTCACAGAATTTAACCCATCCAGCCTTTTTCTTCCCAGATAATAATTTTAATGTTTCAGCAGCAGTTTTTTTATAAAAAATATAGTTGTCAAAATTCATAGAGAGGGAATATCTTACTTCAGCTTCCTTTCTCTTCTTACATGCTACAGAACAATCTTGATCCCACCAAGGTGGTGAAGGAGCATTATTTTTATAAGGTTTTTTGATGGGGATTGTCTTATTGGCAGCAGATAAAATAGCATTTTTAAAAGTAGAATACACCTGAAGAACATTATCTTTCTGAACAGGAGGAAGGGCTGATAGTTCTTCCTCTAGAACTGTGGAATATAGTTGCCAGTTTGCTTTGGATGTGTTATATTTTAACCTAGGATTAAATGGAACATTGACTGTATAGGAGCTAGGGGGATTAATAACAATAGGGAAATGATCACTGCCATGGGAAAAGGGTAATATTCTCCAAGAAAGAAGGGACGACAGGGCAGGGGAACAGAGTGACAGATCTACTGCACTTTTAGGATTTTGGAGGGGGGATACTCTACGTGTAGGTGAACCATCGTTAAGGAGGCAGAGATCTAAATCATCAATGATGTCTAAAAATGTAAAAGACCAGGGATCACAAAAATGGGAGCCCCATAAAGTACGAGTATGGTGCATATTAAAATCACCAAGAATTACCATAGGAGGAGGGATGGAGGATACAATCCTCGTAAGTTCTGACAAGATATTTAAACTAGGTTCGGGAATGTAAATAGAGAGAAAAGAAGTGTTATGAGTTCTAACTGCTACAGCATTAATTGAAGGACTATGAGAAGGGAGGGAAATTAATGTATAAGTAATTGATTTTGAGATAAGAATGAAAGAGCCAGCATGACCATCATGCCTATCATCCCTGAGGCATGAATAACCTGAGATCCTAAAATGGGACCAAGGCTTAAGCCATGTCTCTTGGATGGCTAGGATGAGGGGATGGTATTTATTAATAAGGTAAATTAATTCATTTTTCTTATTATTAATGCTCCGGCAGTTCCATTGAAGTATTGGAGGGAAGGTTATTTGTTAATGAAATGAGCTCAGTAAGTTTTTGGCGGAGGGCAAGTGGGAGATCCATATCGCTGAAACGGGAAAGCATACTTATAAGCATGGAGATCATTAGCTCACAGAGATTGTCATTAGGGGAAATACTCCGCCCTATTAAAGCACAACCATTAGTAGTTGAAGAAGAAGGGGTCTCTATTATTGCCTCATGGGCAGATTTATCATATCCATGACTTGATGCTGGATTTGGCGGAAGTCTTGGAGTAAATGTAGTTTTCCTGTAAGAATGAGATTGTGAGGGGACAACTGAAGGTAAAGTAGAATTTGAAATAGGATAGAGACTCTGATGATCATACGAAGGAAGGATTCTAGCAGCATCTGCATAAGATCTTCGGACTTGAGGGAAACGGGCAGATGCTTCTAGATAGGAAATATTTTCCTGTGACATGGTAAGTTTGATAGATCTCTGTCTATAGTGTTCAGGGCAGGAAGGATCTTTAGCCGTGTGAGATCCTGAACAAAATAGGCAAGTGGGAGACTGTCTTGTGCATGATATTCCTTCATGATTTTGAGCACATACAAAACAACGGGAAGATGACCTACACTGTGAGGTTACGTGTCCAAAACGACAACATTTGTGACATTGTATAAGAGGTAAAATGTAGGGCTCAACAGGCATTGAGGGGAAAAAACAATAAATGTTAGAAGGAAGTTTCTGACCGGAAAAAGTTAAAACAACCGTTTGAGAGGGAATCCACACAGTACTTTGGTTTTCATTAACTGACTTTCTATTAAATCGGCGAGCTTTAATAATTGAGCCAAAACCAGCTGGGACCTCGATTGATGATATGAGTTCCTCTAATGTCCACTCTACAGGGACCTGCCTCACTATTCCCATGCGTGTGACATTATAGGAAGGGATTACAGTATCATATTTAGCACCTGCAAGGGCTGGGTTCTCAATAAAACAATTTGCATTAGCTGCACTTTTAAACTCGACAGAAATTCTATTGCGTCCTATTCGCTTAGCACCATCACTAACAACATTTTTAATATTATTATGGTAGAGAAAATGACCAAACTTTACCGGTTTTAAAACTACTCCAGTTGATAAATCATCTACTCTCTTACTTACATGAACAATAAACGGCGCATTGTCGTTATTAGAATATTTATGTTTTTTTTCTATGTAGTCAGGATGGGTATAAGAGGTCTGAATAGATGGTACAGGTTGAGATGGATCTGTAATTAATCTTTTCTGAGGATGAGCTGAGTTATTGGTTACTTGCAATCTTTTACGCTTCGACTGATCAATTTCGATAGGCATATTATTATGTTTTTTGGTAACAGTATGGGAGTCACATGGAACCCCGTCGGGATCGGGAGGATCTTCCTCCATTTTATTTTAACTAATTACATATAACACAGCACAATTACTAAATACTTACGGATTTATAACTACTAAAACCAACCAATAAACCAATAGAAATAATAAACAAAAAAGTAAATCAACAGCTCTCAGAATAAGAAATAGCCAAAAACACAATGACACTTGTACACCTCACACCACTCCTCTCTCATCCGAATCGATTTATCTTTTTCTGAAAGAATCAACATCCCTACTGACAATGACAATACAAAATAGCGTCAATTTTACGGTAGCAATTGACATAAATAGTTAATATTGCAAAAATAGTTGATTTTAAATATTTTTTCCTCAAAAAGTACGTGTCTCCGAATGTTGAAACTTTGCGTATGTGCTTATAATAATGTAACTTTTCTGTAAAAAAAATATCAATCTCCAACTCGACGGATGTCAATGGGGATTGGTATAAATATTGCATAAATAATTGATTTTCAATAATTTTTTTTTCTCAAAAAGTACGCATTTTCGCACTTTGAAACTTTTCGTGTATGCTTATAATAATGTAACCTTTCTGTAAAAAAAAATATCAACCTCGACGGACGTCAATGGAAAGTCTTATATTTATGATATAATTGTAGCACGAATGGGTCGGCTCAACCGGGGAAGGATCACGCTCTCACAGAATACCAGCATAAAATAGCAGCTTAATGCTGCTGTGTTTCGTATAGTGAGTGTAAAGAACCAGAGACCCTTTTTACTGGAAAAGAGGCAAAGATATTTTAAACTATTTCCGTTTATGAATAATTGTAAACCGCATAATGCGGGTATAAAAACAAATGCAGGACTCCGACTGGAGTCATAGTAAGTTACGTTTTTGGCTTAAGCAGAAACTCTGTCAATCATATTTTAGAGTAAAACAATATCAACGTGTGTGCTTATAATAATGTAACCTTTCTATAAAAAAAATATCAACCCCAACTCGACGGACGTCAATGGAAAGTCGTACCCAACGCTGTGAAAACTGTCAACGCAATGGTCATACTTCGGCTACTTGTTGGGCTGTGGCGACTCCTGGTTCGACGCAGCAACGTTCATCATCCCTGGTGAGTCACATCTTGTTTACAACTACTGATGTGTTATGCAGTGTATATAAGAGTTACGCGTACATCGGCACAGAAAAACTGGTTGTCTACAT